TTTTTGTCAAATTGTTACAGTATTTTAAAGGGATAGTTTCTGTTTTCAGACCGCAAATGCTTTTAAAGTGCATGCTTATTGCTCTTATTCTTATATACCTCACTTAAGAAATCCAGCCATCTGTTCGGTCGAAATTGCATTCATAAACTTTAACTATTCCTGTAAAATTCCCGGTAAAATTCCAAACCCATGTAATAGTTCAAAAAAGAGTTCTAAAATCCCAGTTACCATGGTTACTGGGAAAATAGTTCAGTCTTGGTGAAATACCCATAGGTTCACATGTTAAAAAATGATCTGAGCGATCGAGGATACCGTACGTGTGCGATGAATTGGTCGGTAATTTCAATACAATTGAATCTCGATCGATCTTACCGACAATTTTATCTTGCATTGTTGACATGAAGACGAAAATAAACTTCCAAAAACAACATCTGCCGATAGATCTTGATCTAAGTTCGTGCCAATGCATTGCAAAAGTAAACGAAGGGCCCGTTTAATGGAGCTGCCGCGAAGCATCCAGTACGCGAAGCCGTTTTCAATCCATTTAAATAAATCAGAGAAAACTGCTAACTATTTTATCAGTGCGCGATGGCCGAGCGGTCTAACGCTGTGATTTTAGTCACATCATCGTTTGCACGCAAGAGGTCGAATCCCATCCTCGACAAAAGTTTTTAATTTTTAATTTTTAATTTTTTAGTCTACTCTCAAAGATACACTCATAAAAAAAAATTACCGTGCAGATAAACTAGATAAAGGCCAAGGTGGTGTCATAAGTTGACTTTTTTTTCGGCATATAAAAGTATTAATGACTGCTTTAATATTCGAGAAATAGTTTTTTTTATACGCTCCCAATAAACAAAATCACGTGAAAATCACGTCAATATCAAGGTATCGACTTGAGGAGAGTTACGTTCTTCAAACACCGGACATTTACGTAAATGTGTTAATACGTTTATTGCACTAGGTAACTTAAAACACACGTACACTAAATCACGCAATTGTCACTGCAATATCACCATTATCCCTACCTTGGAGACCATGGTTTGTAAACCTAATACTCCCGTGTTTGTTTGGTTATGAAATTACATCTTCATAAACGAAATTATCGCCTCACAGAAACACGTGAAGCGTTAGTGATAGTTTTAGTCAAAATATCTGCGTAAAATTCACGTGAATATTACGAGGCTGACTTGAGATGAATCATGTTCTTCATTCACGTGAAATTTACATCGAAGAGGAAGTATGTTACTGTAACCCGCGTTCAACCCAATAATTACGCAAATGTTACACAATAAATAAACCAAAATAATGACGTTCTCATCCCGTTTCTGAACATCGTGTCTTGGATCTTCCATAATTACGTCCAGGCGCGCCGGAAGCAGTTTGGGATTACAGGGGGTTGGGGGGGGGGGGTGCAAACATCCCAGAAGAGAAAGCTAGTTGCAACTGGTCCAGTTGATGAACCATTTAATGCCAACTGGTAACCCTGGAAATTGAAAGGGGCTAAATGATCCAGTTGATCCAGGTCAGTTATAATTCAACTGGTCTAGCTGAGCCATTAGAACCATTTGGTAAAACTTCCAACCAGTTGAACAGCAACAATACTTCAATACTGGTACGTCTGTATTTCCAATGTAAAGGCATTGGTAATAAGTAGACTTACATAATTGAATTAATCGAAAAATGTTCGTATACTTGTACTTTATTGACATTATTTTAGTTCATAGGTTATGTTTCCCTTATTCATGTTTACCTAAATGTAATTTATACGAAGTAGCGAAATGTCCTAATAACTGGTAATTTATATTTGTAGTATTTTCGAAATGAATTGCATATAACTAAATCATCAGTAATTACGAAATATGCTGTAAATTCAGATAAATTGTTTAAAAAACATAGATCTGCACGCACCCCATATTCAATATGCAAATTAATTGGTGTCAGCTGGTTCAACTGGAAATATGCCAACACTCAGTTATCAACTGGTGCAACTGGAAATATGCACACTCCAGTAATCAACTGGTGCAATGAAAATATGCCAACAGTCAGTTATCAACTGATGAACATAGAAACATGCCAACAGTCACGGGATTATCACCACGGAACTTAAATGGTAACCGTGAAACCATCAAGACACCCAAGACTAACTCATTTTCACACCTGGAAAACACGGAATACCCAGCTTATATTAATAATCCGTTTGAGTCACGAGATCATCACCACGGAACTGCTGGCAACGTTGACTACCATTTAAATAGGTGTTTTAAGACACCTAAACATGCCTTATTTTTCACACCTAAAAGTCACGTATGCCCAGCTTATAGATTAATAATCCGTTTGAGTCACAGATTATCACCGCGGAACTTATGGCAACTTTGACTACCATTTAAATAGGTGTTTTAAGACACCTAATAATGACTAATTTTTCACACCTAAAAGTCATGTATGCCCAGCTTAGATTAATATTCCGTTTGAGTCACGAGATCATCACCGCGGAACTGCTGGCAACTTTGACTACCATTTAAAAAGGTGTTTTAAGACACCTAATAATTACTAATTTTTCACACCTAAATATCACGGATTCACAGCTTAGATTAGTAATCAGTTTTAATTACGTGATCATCACCAAGAAAGTTATTGTAACTTTGAAACCATTTAAAAAGGTGTTTTAAGACACCTAATAATTACTAATTTTTCACACCTAAAAGTCACGTATGCCCAGCTTAGATTAATAATCCGTTTGAGTCACGAGATCATCACCGCGGCACTTATGGCAACTTTGACTACCATTTAAAAAGGTGTTTTAAAACACTTAATAATTACGAATTTTCATACCTACATATCACGTATTCACAGCTTAGATTAGTAATCAGCTTGAGCCACGTGATCATAACCCAGAAATTCATGGTAACTTTGAAACCATTTAAAGAGGTGTGTAAGACACCTCAGAATTACTAATTTAATATAACCAGAGATTCACGGACAGAACAATTAGACGATTAGCCGGTGTAAGTAACGTGATTATTACCATCAACCTTGGATAACCTGTGAAACCAATCGATAAAGGTGCTTGCAAGACCAAATAATTACGTATTTATCGCCACCATCGGTTAACGGACAAAAAACTCGTTGCTTGGTCAAGTGGTTATTTGGTCATAAACACTTGATTTACAGAGGTACGTGGAATGACGGTACTCCAGTCGCGTGATAAACTGGTGGTTTTTAGGTTAGATGAAAACGTGAACAGGAGTACCTTTTCTGTTTAAATGAAGGCACGTGTCGATAACGTTTAAATCTAGTTCAAAAAGCACTATACTTTAAAATCACTTAATATACACTCCCAAAAGAGGTTACTTTTTAGTGTTCTGTTTATTGGGCTCTCGGGAAGGTTACAATTGGGCTATTGCCCTCGGCACGCCTCGGGCAATAGCATATTTCTAACCTTCCCGAGAGCGTATAAAAACAACTATTTCTCGAATATTAAAGCAGTCATTAATACTTTAATATGACATTATATAGTGCCCTTTTGGGACATAAAGTTGCTATGAAGGTAATTTTAGACCCCAAAATTCAGCTACACTTTCCCCAAAATACGGTGACCTTTAATGAATGAATGAATTAATAATAACAATACATGGGCCGGCTGCTTGTGCATATAACCAACACGACAAAGCTATTAAACACAAAATCCAACATCGGCATTGGTTGAAATACAACGTAAAAGGCGCTTTTTTTTTCAACGGCTTTTTCAAATTATCGAATATTTGTGGTGGTACACAAATATTAGAAATGGATATTTACGGATATTTCAGCCGTCTCTGGACCAATTTTGATCAAACAAAGATGATTTTGTATTTAAATTATATGTTTTTTTTCAAATTTGACACTCAGTTTTTCATTATCTCCAAAAAAATATTTTGTGTAGCGCCCTCTGCAACAGAACTCAACTATCCCTTTAATCGAAAATCGAAAAATCTAGAGCGGAGGAATGTTGGCGTAATACTTTGGAAGTTGAATATGTACCTGTATGGTCGGATGTTTGGTTATTTAAGTTAAACTAAATAAAAGACAGCTTACTAATTAGTTTCAATTTCAAATTCATGTATAATATTTTAGCAATACCATATAATTTGTTTAAATGGAAAGTTAATGCCAATGATAAATGTTATTACTGTAATCAGACAGGTCATTGTATGCACATGTTCTTTTTTTGTAACGAAGTCAGTATGTTTTGGAATGAAGTTGAAAGGACTATATTTCATGTGTAATTTTAATTTCAAACCATGTCATCTATTGTTTGGTATTGATTTTAATTCAAAGAAGGAAAAAGATGTTGATATTATTTTGAATTATGCACTTTTTACTATTTACAAAAGTTTTGTTGGAAAAGAATTTAAAAAGAAAACAACTAAAAAGAGACTTTTTCATATTTTTATTTACCTATTAAGTTATCGTTTACAAACAGAAGAAAATATTAGAAAACCATGTATATCCCTCCAGAAATGGAGGCAAATGCTAAAAATGTGAATATGCTTATATTATTATGAAGAAAAGAATAAAGAAGATCTGAAATGGTTATTTTACAAAAAAACAAAAAAACATCCCTTTTATCATATCGATGCACACACCCTAGCCAAGTTTCACGCTCCAACAATTACGCATGATATGAATAGTGCTCTCTAAAGTTCTGAAAATGGCTATCTTTTTCTGGCCGTAGATCAATCGTGTCTGGCTAACCACATACCCTTTTGGACTTAACTTTTAAAAAACATGAATCTCACCGCTGACCAATTTTGCCAAAAATTAAAATTATTCATTTTTTCTAGGTGTTTTGGTGATAAACTGATGTCAGTTTCCATCTTTCACTAGGAATGTGGCAGAAGAATGAGAAGATACAGCATGTAGATACATTTACAAACAGCCTTAAAAGATTCTGATAAATTCAAGAACTTGTACAATACGTTAAGACCAAGGAGAATGACACCTAGCTTTCACTAAGAATGTGGAAGAAGTTTTTCAAAAAGTCGGTCAGTCGTAAAGGCAACGCCAAAAGTCTGACCCACGGAGACAATAAGGATGGAAATGAACAAGATGGCCGTACTGGCACCGGTGATTTGCAGGGCGCACTAAGCAGTGCTGTTCATAATGGACAACTTGACCTCATCCCAAAACAAATCGGTAAAGGAGCCGAGGTGAATAAAAATGGAAATGACGGTTCGATCTCATTACATTCAAGTGCTACAGATAGTCATCCCGATGTCACCAAATATCTGATCAGTCAAGCTGCTGAGGTGAATAAAGTTCAAAATAACGCTGCGACTGCATTACATCTAGCTGCAGATAATGGTCATCTTGATGTCGTCAAAGAATTGGTCAGTCAAGGTGCCGAGGTGAATAACAGCGGAAAAGAGGGTTTGACCCCATTATATCTAGATGCACAGAAAGGTCATCGTGAGATAACAAAATATCTGATCAGTCAAGGAGCTGAAGTCAATGAAGGCAAAATTGATGGTTGGACTGCATTACATTCAGCTGCTATAAACGGACTTCTAGATGTCGTCAAAGAATTGATCAGTCAAGGTGCTGAGGTGAATAAAGATGAAAATGACGGTTGGACTGCATTACACATAGCTTCACAGAATGGTCATCTTGATGTCGTCAAAGAATTGATCAGTCATGGAGCCGAAGTGAATATTGTCGAAAATCGCGATTGGACTGCATTACATCTAGCTTCACGGAATGGACATCTTGATGTCGTCAAAGAATTGATCAGTCAAGGTGCTGAGGTGAATAAAGTTGAAATGACGGTTGGACCGCATTACACATAGCTTCACAGAATGGTCATCCTGACGTCACCAAATATCTCATCAGTCAAGGAGCCGAGGTGAATACAAGCGGAAATGAGAGTTGGACCCCATTACATTTGGCAGCACACATTGGTCATCCTGACATTACCAAATATCTCATCAGTCAAGGAGCCGAGGTGAATAAAGTTCAAAATGACGGTTTGACCCCTTTACATTTGGCAGCAAATAATGGTCATCCTGACGTCACCAAATACCTCATTAGTCATCGAGCCGAGGTGAATAACAGCGGAAATGACGGTTTGACCCCTTTACATTTGGCAGCTCAGAATGGTCATCTTAATGTCGCCAAATGTCTCATCAGTAAAGGAGCCGAGGTAAATAACAGCGGAAATAATGGTTCGACCCCATTATACGTAGCTGCACAGAAAGGTCACCGTGATATAACAAAATGTCTGATCAGTCAAGGAGCTGAAGTCAATAAAGGCAAAAATGATGGTTGGACTTCATTACATTCAGCTGCTATAAACGGACGTCTAGATGTCGTCAAAGAATTAATCAGTCAAGGAGCTGAGGTGAATAAAATTGAAAATCGCGGTTGTACTGCATTACATCTAACTTCACAGAATGGTCATCTTGATGTCGTCAAAGAATTGATCAGTCAAGGAGCTGAAGTGAATAAAGTCGAAAATCGCGGTTGGACTGCATTACATCTAGCTTCACGGAATGGACATCTTGATGTCGTCAAAGAATTGATTAGTCAAGGTGCCAAGGTGAATAATAGCGGAAATGAGGGTTTAACCCCATTATATCTAGCTGCACAGAAAGGTCATCGTAAGATAACAAAATATCTAATCAGTCAAGGAGCTGAAGTCAATAAAGGCAAAATTGATGGTTGGACTCCATTACATTCAGCTGCTATAAATGGACTTCTAGATGTCGTCAAAGAATTGATCAGTCAAGGTGCTGAGGTGAATAAAGTTGAAAATGACGGTTGGACTGCATTACACATAGCTTCACAGAATGGTCATCTTGATGTCGTCGAAGAATTGACCAGTCAAGGAGCCGAAGTGAATATTGTCGAAAATCGCGATTGGACTGCATTACATCTAGCTTCACGGAATGGACATCTTGATGTCGTCAAAGAATTGATCAGTCAAGGTGCTGAGGTGAATAAATTTGAAAATGACGGTTGGACCGCATTACACATAGCTTCACAGAATGGACATCTTGATGTCGACAAAGAATTGATCAGTCAAGGTGCTGAGGTGAATAAAGTTGAAAATGACGGTTGGACCGCATTACACATAGCTTCACATAATGGACATCTTGATGTCGTCAAAGAATTGATCAGTCAAGGTGCTGAGGTGAATAAAGTTGAAAATGACGGTCGGACCGCATTACACATAGCTTCACAGAATGGTCATCCTGACATTACCAAATATCTCATCAGCCAAGGAGCCGAGGTGAATACAAGCGGAAATGAGAGTTCGACCCCATTACATTTGGCAGCACACCATGGTCATCCTGACATTACCAAATATCTCATCAGCCAAGGAGCCGAGGTGAATAACAGCGGAAATGACGGTTTGACCCCTTTACATTTGGCAGCACAGAATGGTCATCCTGATGTCGTCAAAGAATTGATCAGTCATGGAGCCGAAGTGAATATTGTCGAAAATCGCGATTGGACTGCATTACATCTAGCTTCACGGAATGGACATCTTGATGTCGTCAAAGAATTGCTTAGTCAAGGTGCTGAGGTAAATAAAGGCGAAAATAACGGTTGGACCGCATCACACATAGCTTCACAGAATGGACATCTTGATGTCGTCAAAGAATTGATCAGTCAAGGTGCTGAGGTGAATAAAGTTGAAAATGACGGTTGGACCGCATTACACATAGCTTCACAGAATGGTCATCCTGACGTCACCAAATATCTCATCAGCCAAGGAGCCGAAGTGAATAAAGTTCAAAATGGCGGTTTGACCCCTTTACATTTGGCAGCACACAATGGTCATCCTGACGTCACCAAATACCTCATTAGTCAAGGAGCCGAGGTGAATAACAGCGGAAATGACGGTTTGACCCCTTTACATTTGGCAGCACAGAATGGTCATCTTGATGTCGCCAAATATCTCATCAGTCGAGGAGCCGAGGTGAATAACAGCGGAAATAATGGTTTGACCCCATTATACGTAGCTGCACAGAAGGGTCATCGTGATATAACAAAATGTCTGATCAGTCAAGGAGCTGAAGTCAATAAAGGCAAAAATGATGGTTGGACTGCATTGCATTCAGCTGCTATAAATGGACGTCTAGATGTCGTCAAAGAATTGATCAATCAACGAGCTGAGGTGAATAAAGTCGAAAATCGCGGTTGGACTGCATTTCATCTAGCTTCACGGAATGGACATCTTGATGTCGTCAAAGAATTGATTAGTCAAGGTGCTGAGGTGAATAAAGGCGAAAATAACGGTTGGACCGCATCACACATAGCTTCACAGAATGGACATCTTGATGTTGTCAAAGAATTGATCAGTCAAGGTGCTGAGGTGAATAAAGTTGAAAATGACGGTTGGACCGCATTACACATAGCTTCACAGAATGGACATCTTGATGTCGTCAAAGAATTGATCAGTCAAGGTGCTGAGGTGAATAAAGTTGAAAATGACGGTCGGACCGCATTACACATAGCTTCACAGAATGGTCATCCTGACATTACCAAATATCTCATCAGCCAAGGAGCCGAGGTGAATATAAGCGGAAATGAGAGTTCGACCCCATTACATTTGGCAGCACACCATGGTCATCCTGACATTACCAAATATCTCATCAGCCAAGGAGCCGAGGTGAATAACATCGGAAATGACGGTTTGACCCCTTTACATTTGGCAGCACAGATTGGTCATCCTGATGTCGTCAAAGAATTGATCAGTCATGGAGCCGAAGTGAATATTGTCGAAAATCGCGATTGGACTGCATTACATCTAGCTTCACGGAATGGACATCTTGATGTCGTCAAAGAATTGATTAGTCAAGGTGCTGAGGTGAATAAAGGCGAAAATAACGGTTGGACCGCATCACACATAGCTTCACAGAATGGACATCTTGATGTCGTCAAAGAATTGATCAGTCAAGGTGCTGAGGTGAATAAAGTTGAAAATGACGGTTGGACCGCATTACACATAGCTTCACAGAATGGTCATCCTGACGTCACCAAATATCTTATCAGCCAAGGAGCCGAAGTGAATAAAGTTCAAAATGGCGGTTTGACCCCTTTACATTTGGCAGCACACAATGGTCATCCTGACGTCACCAAATACCTCATTAGTCAAGGAGCCGAGGTGAATAACAGCGGAAATGACGGTTTTACCCCTTTACATTTGGCAGCACAGAATGGTCATCTTGATGTCGCCAAATATCTCATCGGTCAAGGAGCCGAGGTGAATAACAGCGGAAATAATGGTTTGACCCCATTATACGTAGCTGCACAGAAAGGTCATCGTGATATAACAAAATGTCTGATCAGTCAAGGAGCTGAAGTCAATAAAGGCAAAAATGATGGTTGGACTGCATTACATTCAGCTGCTATAAATGGACGTCTAGATGTCGTCAAAGAATTGATCAATCAACGAGCTGAGGTGAATAAAGTCGAAAATCGCGGTTGGACTGCATTTCATCTAGCTTCACGGAATGGACATCTTGATGTCGTCAAAGAATTGATCAGTCAAGGTGCTGAGGTAAATAAAGGCGAAAATAACGGTTGGACGGCATCACACATAGCTTCACAGAATGGACATCTTGATGTCGTCAAAGAATTGATCAGTCAAGGTGCTGAGGTAAATAAAGTTGAAAATGACGGTTGGACCGCATTACACATAGCTTCACAGAATGGACAACTTGATGTCGTCAAAGAATTGATCAGTCAAGGTGCTGAGGTGAATAAAGTTGAAAATGACGGTTGGACCGCATCACACATAGCTTCACAGAATGGACATCTTGATGTTGTCAAAGAATTGATCAGTCAAGGTGCTGAGGTGAATAAAGTTGAAAATGACGGTTGGACCGCATTACACATAGCTTCACAGAATGGACATCTTGATGTCGTCAAAGAATTGATCAGTCAAGGTGCTGAGGTGAATAAAGTTGAAAATGACGGTCGGACCGCATTACACATAGCTTCACAGAATGGTCATCCTGACATTACCAAATATCTCATCAGCCAAGGAGCAGAGGTGAATACAAGCGGAAATGAGAGTTCGACCCCATTACATTTGGCAGCACACCATGGTCATCCTGACATTACCAAATATCTCATCAGCCAAGGAGCCGATGTGAATAACAGCGGAAATGACGGTTTGACCCCTTTACATTTGGCAGCACAGATTGGTCATCCTGATGTCGTCAAAGAATTGATCAGTCATGGAGCCGAAGTGAATATTGTCGAAAATCGCGATTGGACTGCATTACATCTAGCATCACGGAATGGACATCTTGATGTCGTCAAAGAATTGATAAGTCAAGGTGCTGAGGTGAATAAAGGCGAAAATAACGGTTGGACCGCATCACACATAGCTTCACAGAATGGACATCTTGATGTCGTCAAAGAATTGATCAGTCAAGGTGCTGAGGTGAATAAAGTTGAAAATGACGGTTGGACCGCATTACACATAGCTTCACAGAATGGTCATCCTGACGTCACCAAATATCTCATCAGCCAAGGAGCCGAAGTGAATAAAGTTCAAAATGGCGGTTTGACCCCTTTACATTTGGCAGCACACAATGGTCATCCTGACGTCACCAAATACCTCATTAGTCAAGGAGCCGAGGTGAATAACAGCGGAAATGACGGTTTGACCCCTTTACATTTGGCAGCACAGAATGGTCATCTTGATGTCGCCAAATATCTCATCAGTCGAGGAGCCGAGGTGAATAACAGCGAAAATAATGGTTCGACCCCATTATACGTAGCTGCACAGAAAGGTCATCGTGATATAACAAAATGTCTGATCAGTCAAGGAGCTGAAGTCAATAAAGGGAAAAATGATGGTTGGACTGCATTACATTCAGCTGCTATAAACGGACGTCTGGATGTCGTCAAAGAATTGATCAATCAACGAGCTGAGGTGAATAAAGTCGAAAATCGCGGTTGGACTGCATTACATCTAGCTTCACAGAATGGTAATCTTGATGTCGTCAAAGAATTGATCAGTCAAGGTGCTGAGGTGAATAAAGTTCAAAATGACGGTTTCACCCCTTTACATTTGGCAGCACAGAATGATCATCCTGATGTCACCAAATATCTAATCAGTCAAGGAGCCGAGGGGAATAACAGCGGAAAGGACGGTTGTACTGCATTACATCTAGCTGCACAGAATGGTCATCCTGATGTCGTCAAAGAATTGATCAGTCAAGGAGCCGAGGTGAATAAATCCAAAAATGACGGTTTGACCCCTTTACATCTAGCTTCACAGAATGGTTATCTTGATTTCGTCGAAGAATTGATCAGTCAAGGTGCTGAGGTGAATAAAGTTCAAAATGACGGTTTCACCCCTTTACATTTGGCAGCACAGAATAATCATCCTGATGTCACCAAATATCTAATCAGTCAAGGAGCCGAGGTGAATAACAGCGGAAAGGACGGTTGTACTGCATTACATCTAGCTGCACAGAATGGTCATCCTGATGTCGTCAAAGAATTGATCAGTCAAGGAGCCGAGGTGAATAAATTCAAAAATGACGGTTTGACCCCTTTACATCTAGCTTCGCAGAATGGTTATCTTGATGTCGTCGAAGAATTGATCAGTCAAGGTGCTGATGTGAATAAAGTTCAAAATGACGGTTTCACCCCATTACATTTGGCAGCACAGAATGATCATCCTGATGTCACCAAATATCTAATCAGTCAAGGAGCCGAGGTGAATAAAGTTGAAAATGACGGTTGGACCGCATTACACATAGCTTCACAGAATGGACATCTTGATGTCGTCAAAGAATTGATCAGTCAAGGTGCTGAGGTGAATAAAGTTGAAAATGACGGTCGGACCGCATTACACATAGCTTCACAGAATGGTCATCCTGACATTACCAAATATCTCATCAGCCAAGGAGCAGAGGTGAATACAAGCGGAAATGAGAGTTCGACCCCATTACATTTGGCAGCACACCATGGTCATCCTGACATTACCAAATATCTCATCAGCCAAGGAGCCGATGTGAATAACAGCGGAAATGACGGTTTGACCCCTTTACATTTGGCAGCACAGATTGGTCATCCTGATGTCGTCAAAGAATTGATCAGTCATGGAGCCGAAGTGAATATTGTCGAAAATCGCGATTGGACTGCATTACATCTAGCATCACGGAATGGACATCTTGATGTCGTCAAAGAATTGATAAGTCAAGGTGCTGAGGTGAATAAAGGCGAAAATAACGGTTGGACCGCATCACACATAGCTTCACAGAATGGACATCTTGATGTCGTCAAAGAATTGATCAGTCAAGGTGCTGAGGTGAATAAAGTTGAAAATGACGGTTGGACCGCATTACACATAGCTTCACAGAATGGTCATCCTGACGTCACCAAATATCTCATCAGCCAAGGAGCCGAAGTGAATAAAGTTCAAAATGGCGGTTTGACCCCTTTACATTTGGCAGCACACAATGGTCATCCTGACGTCACCAAATACCTCATTAGTCAAGGAGCCGAGGTGAATAACAGCGGAAATGACGGTTTGACCCCTTTACATTTGGCAGCACAGAATGGTCATCTTGATGTCGCCAAATATCTCATCAGTCGAGGAGCCGAGGTGAATAACAGCGAAAATAATGGTTCGACCCCATTATACGTAGCTGCACAGAAAGGTCATCGTGATATAACAAAATGTCTGATCAGTCAAGGAGCTGAAGTCAATAAAGGGAAAAATGATGGTTGGACTGCATTACATTCAGCTGCTATAAACGGACGTCTGGATGTCGTCAAAGAATTGATCAATCAACGAGCTGAGGTGAATAAAGTCGAAAATCGCGGTTGGACTGCATTACATCTAGCTTCACAGAATGGTAATCTTGATGTCGTCAAAGAATTGATCAGTCAAGGTGCTGAGGTGAATAAAGTTCAAAATGACGGTTTCACCCCTTTACATTTGGCAGCACAGAATGATCATCCTGATGTCACCAAATATCTAATCAGTCAAGGAGCCGAGGGGAATAACAGCGGAAAGGACGGTTGTACTGCATTACATCTAGCTGCACAGAATGGTCATCCTGATGTCGTCAAAGAATTGATCAGTCAAGGAGCCGAGGTGAATAAATCCAAAAATGACGGTTTGACCCCTTTACATCTAGCTTCACAGAATGGTTATCTTGATTTCGTCGAAGAATTGATCAGTCAAGGTGCTGAGGTGAATAAAGTTCAAAATGACGGTTTCACCCCTTTACATTTGGCAGCACAGAATAATCATCCTGATGTCACCAAATATCTAATCAGTCAAGGAGCCGAGGTGAATAACAGCGGAAAGGACGGTTGTACTGCATTACATCTAGCTGCACAGAATGGTCATCCTGATGTCGTCAAAGAATTGATCAGTCAAGGAGCCGAGGTGAATAAATTCAAAAATGACGGTTTGACCCCTTTACATCTAGCTTCGCAGAATGGTTATCTTGATGTCGTCGAAGAATTGATCAGTCAAGGTGCTGATGTGAATAAAGTTCAAAATGACGGTTTCACCCCATTACATTTGGCAGCACAGAATGATCATCCTGATGTCACCAAATATCTAATCAGTCAAGGAGCCGAGGTGAATAACAGCGGAAAGGACGGTTGTACTGCATTACATCTAGCTGCACAGAATGGTCATCTTGATGTCGTCAAAGAATTGACGAGTCAACAAGCTGAGGTGAATAAAGTTAACAAGAACGGTGTGACCCCTTTACATTTGGCAGCACACAATGGTCATCCGGACGTCACCAAATATCTCATCAGCCAAGGATCCGAGGTGAATAAAGTCGAAAAACACGCTAAGACCGCATTACATCTAGCTTCACAGAATGGTCATTTTGATGTCACCAAATATTTGATCAGTCAAGGAGCTGATGTTGATAAGGCTAGTGACAAAGGATGGTCAGCCTTATATTTTGCCGCAGCTGCTGGTCACGTTAGTGTTTCAAGGGCTTTGCTTAGTCAGCAAGCTGAGCTGGCCAAAGCAAATATAATTCGTTGGACGGAGTTTCATTCCGTTGCAGAGAGAGGCGATCTTGATGCCATGACAGATCAAGTCAGTCACGGAGTCTATCTGAATAAAGCTGGTTCTTTTGGTTGGACAGCCTTACATATTGCAGCAAGTAATGGACACCTTGATATGACAAAATATTTGCTAAGACAAGGAGCTGATGTGAATTCTAGCAATAGCTTTGGTAGGTGTGCTTTGCATAATGCTGCAACGAAAGGGAACTTGGATATCATGGAATATCTGATCAGTGAAGGGGCCGATATGAATAAAGGAAATGACATTGGATGTACTGCCCTACATTTTGCATCAGAGTCTGGCCATTCAGATATCGTCGAATCTCTAATCAGTCATGGAGTTGAGGCAGATAATTGTGACGCATATGGAAGAACTGCTCTCCATTATGCTTTATATGATGGTCAGATCGATATTGCGAAGTATCTGCTTAGCCAAGGCTCTGAACTGAATAAGAGAAGCATGCGTGACTCTGTCATCTTACAATTTGATGGACAGTATGGTCACTATGATGCTGGGCGATGTGTACAGAGTCAGGTAGGTCATGCAGTTAGCAGACTCGTTGATTCCCTCATTGTTTTTAGGGGTGCTCCAGAAAGCGAACTTGGTAGAAGCAAATATGAAGATGGCGATGAGTATAAGACAGTTCAAGGGGGAATGGTTATTGTGCATATGCTACTACTATCGTCTGATCTTGACATTCAAGATAATCTTGAAATAAGTCAAGAAGGCAGAACAGTTACTCGCACATCATTAGAATTTGCTATAGAACGTGGCTGTCTTGAAGTTGTTCGGTATCTGATCAGTCATGGAGCTGATGTGAACGAGTGCAACAATGTTGGCTGGACTGCTCTTCATTTTGCTGCGCAAATGGGTCATCTTCATATTGTAGATTATCTACTTGGACAAGGAGCTGAAGTAGCCAAAGGAGACGTTGATGATATCTCGCCTTTGCATGTTGCTGCATTCGTTGGCCATTGTGACGTTACCGAGCATTTGCTTAGGCGAGGAGCAAAGATCAACGAATCCACCAAGGAGAAAGGTTCTACAACCCTACATGTCGGAGTGCAGAATGGTCATCTCGATATCGCGAAATGCTTGCTCAACCACGGAGCCAAAATTGATGTGACAGACAATGACGGTTGGACTCCCTTGCACATCGCTGCTCAGAACGGTCACATCGATATCATGAAGTGTCTACTTCAGCAACTTGCAGATGTAAGCAAGGTTACCAAGAAGGGATCATCTGCATTGCATTTGTCTGCCGCAAATGGACATACCGATGTCACAAGATATCTATTGGAGCACAGAGCTGAAGCAAATCTGAGGAAACCTGGGAAGACTGCGTTGCAACTCGCTGCAAAAGAAGACCAAGTACATGGGATAAGTACAGATACGTGGTGTGCTGAAGGGCAGAAACACCCTTCTTCCCCAAATGATCGTGCATACACTGAGGGTTTAACCGAAGATGAGAAGAAGGTATTTAATTTAGTATTCCTGTATAATTAATATGAAACAATATCATATTGTTTTATAACATTCTTGCAAGTATTAAAATCATATCAATAGAGATTGAAACGGGTTAGCGAATTTGTAACCTTAATTACCGCGTTTAAAATTTCTTGTGAAGGTATATAGAGTGTCTGAATTATGAAAAAGGGTGAAATGATTCCACGAGGACTTCTCAAATCCTATCTTATAACAGTAGATATACATGTAAGTCAAACCTGTCTTAGTGGCCACCTGTCTATCGTTTATTTTGCCTCCCTCGAGAAAGGAATTTGTGTTTGAGAACATGTCTACAAACGCCACCTGTCAACAGTGACCACTGTTTTGTTTCCATTGGTGACCTTAACAGACAGCTTTGACTGTATGATATTTGTTTAAATGTTAATATATGTAAGTCTATTCAGTGATTAAAGATATGAAAAACTAGAAAAGAAACTGCTTCCTGAAAAGCTGTTTTGTTTGTAGATTCTTAATTTTTGAGACTGGCGTTTTACATAGGTTCTTGGACAACATGCTGAAAAAGGCTACACAGCAGTTCATTTAGCCACGCAAAATGGCTACACCTCCATCATCGAGACATTAATTTCTCATGGCGCTGATCTCAACATCCAGTCCATCGACGGACAGACCTGTCTTCACGAAGCCATCAGACTTTGTGGTCGGAAGGACAGCAAAGTTGAAGCAACACCAGCACTCCAAAAGGTAAGATGATGAACTCTAGAACACACTGTCCCTGGGATTGTATGACGCTTGATCCTGCGACAATTGCTCTGTATAATTTCCTACACTAACCCAATTGTTTATTTACATTTATGCAATTGGTATCATACCATTCACACATGAGTTAGCATAGCCATTTAACAAATGAATGAGTCTCTATTTTTTTAAAACAAAAATGAGCACATTGCCTTCCAAATACCGATGAGAATTTTCATCTCTTTTGGGAATTATAAACATAATCGAACCATCAGAAAAACACAACAAATCTTCGGAATTGTGAACCTGTGGTTAAATCTTCAGAAACACAAGGGCCTCCCAAAGTTTAAACAATATTTTCTCTGTATAATTGTTCTAGATCTCAGAAGAGTTCTATCAGAATGAATTGTCCCCCAAGAAGGCCCTGGTCTTCTATCTCTTGGACCATGGAGCGAAGCCGGACATCAAGGATAACCAAGGCAACCTACCAGTCCACTATGCCAAGGATGAAATCATTCGCCAGATGATATTCTCAAGGTGAGGGAGCATTATATTAACATGGGCATCTGGAAACAAATATACAAATGGTGTCATAGTTGAGTGGTGTAATCATTCGACTTGGAATGCCAAAGGTCGTGGGTTCTATCGCTCCTCTCCACCCAGTTGGTAAATGTGTAGCTAGGAGAATGTGAACATGAATGTGATTTGATTAGGATGTGCACGTCCATTAAAAAGCTCCCCGGGAAGCAGAGTGTGCTGAATCATTATAGAATCCAGGAACTGCTTAACAATACTGTAAACAAAGTTAGATACATTTTAATGGTAAATTACTTCATAAATTACAGTTATTGTTATTTAAAAAAGAAAAGAAAACTGTTAACATGGCTTTCTTAATTTTGGATTTGGATTTCCAGCTGAGTTATGATTGCCACCAGGTTGTGAAATTAAATTATGTGGATGAAATAGGGCAATTCCACTTGAGACAGATCAAAAACAAACCAAGATCTAATTTAATTTTACCAATATGAATAATAGTATTCAAATAGTGATAATTAATATTTTAGTGACTCCGTCGGATTATTTGTTGAAAATTTTAGTCAGATATTTTGGGGCAAGTTGAAAAGCTAATTGCGGTGCATTTTGTTGGAAACTCTTTTGCTTACTCTCGTAGATAGTTGAATCTTTATTTACAGAAATACATTCAATATGTCCCATTTCGTCCTGATCACGTCTCAAACGTTAGTACATGTATTTCTGATGATTGTATACACCGGGTAGTAGATATGTTAAAGCTTACAAATATTTAGATGAAAACTAGATATGTGTTCATGAAACTATGTTTCCATTATTCATTTATACACCGACAGTATATCATAATAGTACACAGATGGAAGTATTCTTTTCAAGAGGGCAAACAAAAAGTAGTCGTGAAGAACCTCCGTTACCTTAGCAGTTATTATCCTGAATTGCAGAAAGTGGGACTTATCCATAAGTAAAAGATCTGTGAATATTTAATCAAATCCCTTTGCTTGCACAAGATTATCCTGAAGGTTGAAACAATATGATAATATCACTTCTTCTTTGTTGCCTTTTGCATATATTCTCAGGTCTCCTGACATGGACATCATCAGGGCTTGTCGAGGTAACACTCTCTGATAAAAGAAGAATTAAACATAGATTATCATGTAAAAAATAATGATAAATTGATGATTAACAAGGTTTACATTTTGATATTGACATGGGTGCATTGCGAAAAGAAGAACAGAACAAGAGAGAAATAATTGACATGATGATCAGTTTTATCAGTTAACTAAATATCCATAATGTTCAGGTGATTTTATTTCAAAGCCACCTGTTAAAGAGAAGGTTGTGTTCTGGTAAAACACAAAGAATAGGTTGTGAGCTTTCTCATTCTGTTCGTGTCATTTTTGGGGAACAGAAATAGAAGAAATACCCCCTGAAAAGTATTTGCTATACAAATGCCCTTATAATTGAAATATAACAAGAAATGCCTTGAAAGTTTGGACCAAACTTTCATGCCACAACTGTGTATGTGCAGTTTCCTATACCCATCCCCAGGTGGAGCCAATTGCTTTTTATTTTTGTATTCCAAGACCCATATTGGTTCTTATATAGAACATAGTCAAACTTTCCCCGTTGCTTCCGGATAGTTTCTTTCACTTGGCAGGTATTCAACTTTATCTTTAAACCCTCAACATCCTCACTCTCTCTTTCTCTCTTCGATCAATTTTATTTTGCAGCTGAAAAGTCGGCTCCACCGGTGGTCAACGCCGTCTCTGCTCAGGTTGGATGTGACGGTAAAGAGCTCGAACTGGAACACCATGGCATTGCAATGTCTATCCCACCTGGGGCTGTCGAACATTATGAATCTTGCAAGGTCACTCTCACCATTGTGAGAGACCTCCCCAGTGTTGTCATCCAAGATGACACACCAATGGCGGCCTACGGGATCAGATGTGACCCTCCAAATATGGTCTTCCACCAGCCTGTTAACATCACGATACCGCATTCCACCTCAGTCATCAACCCTGAGCAAGTGATACCAGACATCGTCTCACATATCTGGGATAAAGGAAAGGGTAGGTTATTTGGTTTAATAAAAATATCCATTGTTGCAACGTTTATTATTGAAATCTTATTTCCCAAACTAAACTATTTTAAACCTTTCTTTTCCTCCTGGTTACCCAAGGGAGCCTGGTCTTTAAACCAAGTGTTAGTGAAACCTTAAACAGAATCATTTGAATGTTCAAGCGGACCTGTTGAATTTTCAAAGAACATGCTTTCGAAAAAGTGGTATTGTACTACTTAATTGTTTGATATGATTGTTTCCAAAATCAGGATTTAATAAGGACGTTATTTTAGTTCAAAATGATCTTAGACTCAGGGTTTGGTCAGGGTAACTGAATGAGTAGAATACAGACCAAAATGTCTCTTGAAAACTCATTGTAAATTAAACTCTTCATAAACTTAATTGGGACAAAAGGGGGTTAACATATGTCATATCGACCTTGTATTTATGATAACTGTTAAAAGGGTGACTTTAGAATGGCTACCAAAGGTATTGAGTATATAAAAGATATGATTTAAAACGTTTCAAGTTAGATGTTTCAATGTTGAGTTCTAGCCAATAAGAAAAATCATTTGTGAGTTTTCTCATTCTTTATGTCATTGTGGAACATAGGTTTACCAAGAATTTCTAGGTCGAAATCAACTGCTGCACCTGACAAATTGCCATTCTGCAAAGTCCTGGAGCGACATCTTGAGTTGCACATCGATCACTGTGCCGAGTGGTGGGTTCTTCTTCCTCTAGAGCAAGAGATCATCCATCTTCAACTCATGTGTACCCCTTACGTACCGGACAAAATTGAACGAGGCAAAGCGTTTGATGTTCATCTCCACCTGAATGCAGATATGCCGGGGATAGAAATGGTAAGTTAGGAAGAGTTCGGTTCAACTCGGTTTACTTTTATTATCTCACTCCCTCTTTTCACATGGAGAGTACCTTGAGTTCCAATATGGGTCCCACATAAACATCCCCATATGGGCTCCGTGCCCCATTGCTCTAACAATTTGTATGGGACCCATATGTGCCATCTCATCTCATGCCCAGGGCCCATCTACCATGTAGGCATAATGTGTCTTATGCCCTCAATAAATAATTGGGGGGGGGGGGGGGGTTCTTATATGGCCTCAACAAGGATCTGTCCATATGGACTCCATGTATGATATTATGCACCAAAGATTTGTATTGGACACAGATGGGCCATCCAAGGTGAACTATATGGGTTCAGCCCAGCTAAAGCCCATCCGGTTAAAGCATTGTTGGCATAATGTCCACTATCCCATATTATTATTAAAGGGGAGGTGGGCTCCAAAATGAACCCCACGTGGTAATGCCCATATAGGCCCCATACAAGTTTGTACCAAATATTCACATAATTCTTTTGCCCTTATAGGCCAAGAGCATTAGTTTTAACATGGAAATTTTTGGTAACAAGCTGATTTTTTCAGGATAGGTCCAGGAATATGTCTAGATTAACATACTAAAAGTCCTCATAAATCCTCCTTGAGCGTTTTCCGCAATCCAAGATGGCGTCCAAAATGGCCGCCATGTCCTGAATTTCTTATAGCTTTGCAACTAGATAACCCAAATACAAAATTTAATTGTCTAAATATATGTTTTTTAGCATAAGGAACTCAATAAAATACATGTTGATAAATTCTTAAACACACAAGTAGCTATAAACCACTTTTAGCTCTTTTCGAAATCCAAAATGGCGCCCAAAATTACCGCCATTTCCTGTATTTCTTCTAACTTTGCAACTAGATAACCCAAATACCAAATTTAAATGTCTAAATATATTTTTTTCAGCATAAGGAACTCAACCAATTAGTTATTAACAAATTTTGAAACACACAAGTAGCAGTAAAACCACTTGAGCCCTTCCCGAAATCCAAAATGGCACCCAAAATGACCATTATTTCCAAATTTATCTCATTGTAAGTAGATACGTAATGAATATAATCAAATGTCTAGACTAGAAAAGCACCATTGAAATACATATCAGTACAACAATCTTTTAATTCAAAAATACTTCTTATGCATAAAGTACACACACACACACACATACACATATGGCTGCTTCCATCATCCTCAACGATATCAGACTGACAGTGTGCAACCGTGAAGAGTACTCAACATTAGATCGAACTGAAAATGTAGACACATTTGTACCAAGGTCGCTAAAGCTTTTTATACATAATGAATGTAAGAGGTGCGGTATGGACGTTGATTTGCTGCAGCACTAGTTGGAAGTAGACTTTTTAACTGAAAGGATGAACTCAGAGAACTGCGACCAATTGCCAGTTTAATTGTATGCAGTGTGACGGTAGTCATCAAGAACTGCTGGCCCCATAAAGGCTTTCCCGGCTCTTTTTTTTTTACCTCGCCATGGGTGCTTACACTGCGAATGTATCAAGCAAGCCATAGTCAAGTTTCTTGTAGACCATATTGAAAGTTTTACGACTGCCCTGACGGTAGATTGCAGAGACCGTATCACACCCTGTCACAGCTTAAACCATTTCTGGCACGTTGGATTGCTTAGAGAACGAATTCAGCAGGAGACCCAGAGAACTCTTTGTTGGCTTCCGCATCACCCCACCTTTGAAAGGGAAAGTGCGTGGGAATATGTTCATAAGCAAAGACCGATTCCATCTCAGTGTTGTTATTCAGGACACATGTTATTCTGTTGAACAGTAGTGTTGGGTTGACTTATGTGCTTTGTCCCCTGATTTTCACTCTCTTACTATTGGCACCAATGGCCTTCACCTTGTCCTTACGATGTACGTAGCTTGAATTCTGTAAACTTCTTACCATGCATTCGTTTCGGATGCCGCTACTAGGCCGATTTGTACAGGTTAATCACAATTAACAGATAAGCCAGCGACGATGCCAGTTGACAAGGAGACCAGGCAATGCGTTTCGTATCAAGCAAATGGTGATGTGCCTGTAGGCATCCAACAAAGATACATCTTTCTTTATTGTCTCTTAACCTGGTACTTTGCTGTATGTCTTTATGCTGCTCTAGTGTACCAGTGTGTACTCCGGTAAACTGTTCCAGTTAATCACAGGTAGGAACACAGTGAGGAAGTGCATGAACCCACTTTAATAGCCAATGTACTGTCTGTGATTCCACGTCCACGAGTCATTTATCTAGATGCTTTCAACTGCCGCATCAGGAACTTTTCAATGGTCTCAACAGAGAAGTTTCCACCCCAAAATGAATCCACACGGCGGATGGTGAAGTATCCCATTTCTGCGAATTGTGAATATTCATTTCCTGGCATGGTTTGCTCTAGAGCTTCCATCTGTTATAAAAACAACCTGGCTTATTTGAACTAGGGAAGATGTCCTGCAGCATGAAAATGTTGTATCATTTCCCTCACACAGCTGAGATGGAGCTTCCAGTCCCCTGTCCTTTCAGCTGGAATGAAACATTGCAGAAGAGACACATAAATGTCAGATTTACTGCAACCAAAGTTTCCCTGTCCTACTGTGTCCTGCTGCCCGTTCAATGAGTTGTGAAATGAATTGACTTAACTGTTTGACACACTCTTCTCAGGTACGGCAGTCACCTTCTTGTCCTGGTTGAGGAGTGCACCATACAGATTCGCTAAGTGGTCCTTATCTATGCTGTCTAAGACGCCAGGTTTACCCATCAACACGCCAATGAGGGCAGCTGAAGTAAGAATGTGAGCACGAAGAGAAGGGGAAAATGCATGACCAGATTGCATATGTATGACAGACCCTTTGGCGTACACTGTCTCTCATAGCTCTACAAGCATACTTCTGCCCATGACGTGGACTATATGCTGCCGAGATATGACTTGAGGAGGTGAAATCCACCAAAACGGACGATTACTTTTCCTAGGTCTTGAGAAGAAGCTACAATCTCTGCTGCCTTGATGTACGGGGGCTGGTTAAATGTTACTGCACATATTCTTAAGTTATATGTTTTTCACATTGTGACTGTGCAAAGTATAGTGCCGTGTAGATGGATTGGAGGGGTCTAAATTTATGATGGGCAGAGTTTCAATTCTCGTACTGGTCACTCTGCATGGCCACTTTCATGAAACCAATCCATGAAGGACAAAGCTCATGTTGCTCAGCTCAAGATGTCTACATGTATCTGTTCACGTGAGCCGCACTGCCGGTGTTTATACGAAGCCATTCCAACAATATTGGCGACAGAAATGACCTGGTCTACTAGCAGAAATGACCTGGTCTACTAGCAGAGATGACATGGCATGTGTCCTATTGCGGTGCATTTCCTGTTTGAAACCTTGTGACTTTTGCCTTTGCGACAGTAATTGGTACTAATGTGTCTTCATTTTCAGTTCCATCTAACGTTGAGTACTCTTCACGTTTTGCAAACTGTCAGTCTGATGGAAGCAGCCATACATGTATGTGTGCATGTGTGTGTGGGTGGGTGGGTGGGTGTGTATACGTTAGGTATAAGAAATATTTAATTATTTAATGAAAGGTTTATTTGTACTGATATGTATTACAATAGTGCTTTTCTAGTATAGACATTTGATTGTATTCATAACGCACCTTTAATACAGTGAGATAAATTCGAAATAATGGTCATTTTGGACGCCATTTTGGATTTCGGAAAGGGCTCAAGTGGTTTTACTGCCACTTGTGTGTTTCAAAATTTATTGATAAGTATTTGGTTGAGTTGCTTAAGCTGAAAAACATATATTTAGACATTTAAATTTGGTATTTGGGTTATCTAGTTGCACAGTTATAAGAAATTCAGGAAATGGCAGCAATTTTGGGCGCCATTTTGGATTTCGGGAAGGGCTAAAGTGGTTTACAGCTACTTGTGTGTTTCAAAATTTATCAACAAGTATTTTATTGAGCTCCTTATGCTAAAAAACATATATTTAGACATTTAAATTTTGTATTTGGGTTATCTAGTTGCAAAGTTATAAGAAAATCAGGAAATGGCGGCCATTTTGGACGCCATCTTGGATTACGGAAAACGCTCAAGGAGGATATACGAGGACTTTTAGTATGTTATTCTAGACATATTCCTGGAGCTATCCTGAAAAAATCAGCTTGTTACCAAAAATTTCCAGGTTTAAGCCTATTTTTACCTAATGCTCTTGGCCTATTATGATTATTCTTACTTCTACTTGTTAAGTTCAAAGGGCTTTAATAGTGTGAGTGTTGGCTCAGTCAGTAGAGCGTCCGCCTCACAACCGGGAGGTCGTGGGTTCGAACCCTGGCCGCGTCATACCAAATGACATTAAAAGATGGGAGTTGTTGCTACCCTGTTTGGCGTTCAACAATAAGGGATAGAGCAACGTCGATCTGGCGCTGCTCAGTGGCTGCCGGGCTCACGATCAATTGGGCAAAAAGAATTTCCGTTTCGGTTTAATAAAATTTGACGTGGACTAAAAGATTATTATTATTGATATTATTATAATATTCTAGACTTTTGAATATGTTGGCCCACCACAAATTGACTCCTTGGGTTCCATTATGGGTCCCACATATGAGAATGTCCATATGGGCCATATATAAGTTTGCACCTAAGATTGACATGGGATGCATATGGGCAATCCCATTTTACCCGTATGATTATTCTTTCTCCTACTTATATTCTTCAAAGGACTATACGTACAGGCTGTCATTAAGAAATACCGGATGTACACCCTAAACTTTGCGAGAGTAAAGGCTCCAAAAGTTTTTGATAAAAGGCTGGAACAATAAGGGAGTTTACAGATACAATCTGCGTATGAGCAGATAAAGGTCATTTGTACCAAAAAGGTAAAACCCACCAGAGATGAATACTGGATATGCGCTCATGAAAGTTATGTAACATTATTCATTTAGGCACCAACGGTACATTCTAAGATACACAGGTGGAAGTATTCTTTTCAAGAGGGCAAACAAAAGGTATTCATGAAGCACATCTAGGACTTTGGCAGTTATTATTCTAAGATGCTCAAAGTGGAACTTCTCCATGTGTAAAAGATCTGTGGATATTTGGGGTCATTTGTACCATGTGCTATCTGTAAACTCTCTTATTGTCAGCGGAGCAAGTGGCCCACCATAATTATAGAAATACATGTATGTAAATGGGTACAGCCTTGTTAATTGTATATTTTACATAGGCCTATATTACATATAAATATAGTCTAACTGACATAAAAATATATTTGTTTGGGTTTCGTTAACAATTAATCAACTACCATCCCTATTTCACATCATTTACAGTTTAAACTCAAACCTTCACACATATCCCACCCGTTGTTCAACAAATATCACTTAAAATATCCTATAATACTTTTAGCCGAAAGGTCCGTAAGATATCATGGACCAGATGTATGGAACTCCTTACCAAATTCAATAAGTCATTATTCATTTCTTTATTCTTTTAAAGCATCTCTTAAAAAACAATTATATCGAAGTATCTACATGAATGATTTCAACATGCATTAGACAATTTTTACACGCACATGCAAACACGCACGCTAACGCGCACACGCACACACACACACACACACACATAAACACGCACACACACACACGCAAACGTACATCCACAATAAACACTTACACAACACAATCACAAACTCAAACACAAAGATCGTTTAAACACTTTTTGTTTTTAAGTTTTACCTTAAGATTTGTTTTTGTTGAGGCCGCCATCCTAGTCAAGCATAGCTTATAATTGCGGTCTCCTGCACTTTTTCTACTGAAGAAGAACGTGTGATCTATTTAGCCCTTCAGAAATCCCAGTTCTAAAAACCTTAGTTAATGACTGTGTTCTGTTTCTTTTTCTTTGAAATAGGAGGTACAAAAGGAGGAGAAGCAGAGGTCATACCACAAGGCACATCTTTCCTTTCCGACCATTGTCGGAGCTAAATCCGGTGACATTTCAGTGACATATGATGGTAAAGGCAAGATGACTAACACGAAGGTATGAAAACACAATTGAACTTACCTCAAATATGATGTTCGACAATAGATGGCGATCATACTGCGCAGGTCAGCACATGCGCAGAAACGAAACTGGGGAAGACGATACGAGGTTCATGTTTAACGAACCGTACCTCTAGACCGATCCATTGGACCGCTCCAGAGGTACGGTTAGTTTATGTTCACACTCATCGGACTGTTTACCCTGATGAGACACGTTTTATCCCAAATCATTAAGTATCATTTTAGTGTGGTATATGTTCACGCTTGGATGAACAGGAGGCATTTTTTGCGAGAGTGAAAAAATCGACTTGCGCCAAAGTTTCGCCCGTTCAAATTTCAATAAACACGCTAAGCCTTGTTGATCGGGTGGTTATAGGGACTTTTAGATTCGCACGAAGACAATGGGGATTGCTACGGTCGACGTCCTTTTAATACACTGCCTTGAATGGACGTCACACGTATCAGTCCACGCAAATCTAAAAGTCCCTAATGTCTTTTTCTTTCATGACCGTATTAAGGGTGGGGGTGGTAGGGAGGAGGGGGCGGGTGAAAAAAAAACATGCAAAGAAAAAGAAATTGCCCCTTGTTGTGAGTGACAAACTGAAACCAAGCCACTCTGTGTAAAGATGGCTCTGAGTACCCCATTTTTTAAAACCTTGTTCAGACAACCCCCCCCCCAAAAAAAAAAATAAAAAAAAAAAAAAAATCGCCGTAGTTATTATTTGTTTTTTACGTTTGAAAAGAATGACAACTGACGGTGCAACCCAAATGAGGCGCGTATTCACTGATCTATGTGCTATTATTAAAGACCAAAAGGTAAAGCGTATGCAAAAATCGACTTGCGCAAAAGTATTGTGAGAGAATGAATTGAGTGTATCAAATGACTTTTTGCAGAAGCAAAGTCACACACACACACGCACAATTGTTCTTTGGTATTTGATATGTTATATATGTGGCATGATTAATTTTTGTTAGGGATGTTATTTGGATCTGCAAAGAGCCAATAAATACCCAAATCCCAATACAGTTAGTCAATAGAAACCCCAGTCAACAATAAAGAATCACATCATTCAAGCCTCAGCGGATAGACAATAGCAACTTAGTCTTAGTGCCAAATGTCACTGACCATGGACAGATCTGCGTGGGACTGACTGTTCTACTGTACGTGATATT